GAGGAATGCGACGAGTGATGGATGCAGCTCTCCGGCTCGATTACACAGAGGGCCGCGCCGGAAGGTGCTCGGGGGAGCGAGCTGACTCATCAGCGTGCCGAGGCAGGCGGCCGCCGCGTGCGATACGGCCGTGACAACAAGTGGTGAAAAAACAGATGCGTCGTAACGGCGAGACGCAAGGGTCACTATCGGACCGGCGGGACGCAAGGGATACCATCGGAACGGCGAGACGCGAGGACCGCTATCGGACCGGCGAGATGCGGTAGTTATTACCAAAAGGCGGGACACGAGGGTCACCATTGGACCGGTCAGTTGGCTCGGCGCCAGCTGCTCTGCAGGATATGCTGTTCCGCAGTGCTGGTGGTGTTAGTGCCCGCCTCCTGGCGGAGTCTCGCGGGGATCGTGTTTTTTAACTGCCGATCGCGTCGTCATTGCGTCGCACGAAATTCTTTCCATGACTTCCGCTGGCAGGAACACAATGGACGACACAGCCCTGTGCTTGGATGGATCGCCCCACCCCTGAAACGTACGGTGTGCTGCGGCTGACTAAGATCACAGCAATGCTAGCATTTCCGACAGCTGTCTGGTACATCAGGGAGGCGTGTTATCCTTGCCGATCTCTGACAGAGCATCCAGGGCCAGTCCTGCGCCGAGTCGGCATGTTTCCGTCCTGGAAGACGCAACATTCCGTCAGGACGCGAATGACCCACATATACAGTTTGCATGCGTGAGCCTGAGTGCATGCACGGACTTTCACAAGCGTGCATGGTGTGCGGAGAAGTCATCGATGACTCATCAAATGACATGCCAGCTCCTTGACCCCGGAGAGCTGGAGATTTGTCAGTGTGGGGCCGCACACCTGGAAGGGTCTTTTCTCTTACAACGCAAAATATACGAGAGTGAAGTGATTTTCACAGACTTAAAACAGACTCGAAAACACTCAGAATGGTCAGAGCCAGAGCGTGGGAAATGCGGTCAATGAGTCGGCGGGGAGGCCAGAGCGCACCGGTTCTCGCATATCGACATGACCGGTGGGACCGGGCCACAAAGCGGCTGGAATGGGGCGAGGGGTCGTGGGTACACGGGTCGGCTCGTCTCCAGCGCCAGCCGGGCTGGGCCGCGCCACGAGAGGGCGAAGGTCCCGGCCTCGTCGGACCACGGCCCACCCCTCTCCCTCTCCGGACTCAACTGCTCCCCCGGGCTCACGCACAGCTTCATCATATGGTCTTTCCACCTAGGACTGTGCTGTTACTGCCACGG